TCATATATAATCAATAGTAATTATTATTGATTTTGGAAGATTACTTGAATCTTATATTACTTAACAACCAAACGTGGTAATCTAGGTAATATAAAATGACTTTACCTCAATAATGGGGGATAACCCCCAACCAAACACCCTTTATAGGTATAGGTGATAACTTAATTCATTCACTAATGTTTTATTCATTTTGTTACATTTATTAATTCTTATTGTTAATTAGTTTGTTATACATATTTTGGTTTCTTTAATTGCTACTTGGTAGAAGTTTGGAAGATGTGATTGAAGTCTCTTATTATTAGTGACAATTAATTCTTGCACGCATGTTTTTCTTTGACAATATTACATTAGATTAATCATAAATTTTTTTAATAAGAGTTCAAATATTTAATTTAATTTATACTAAAATATCCTAAACATCTTGTCAACCACATGGTGACATGGAGAGTCATGGACAATGTGACATGGACACTTAAACATTGTTTAATTTTATAAATTTTATAAAAATTAGATATTTATTTTTATAATATTTTCATTAAATTTATAGAAAAAACAATTTAAGGAGACTCAAATAATAAAATCGATCTATTATTATTTTGTTAATTTCACATAATTCTCTAATAAATTGATGTCCCAACTTATTATTCATGGTCCACTTGCCCCCAAAAATAACTTCGATTATATTATTACAAAAACAAATATAAGAATATACACGATTGCGCAACGACTTCAAATTACACAAATAAAAATATGAAATTACACAGATTCAATTATCTTTTTGATTAATTAATTGATCAATTAATTATGATGTTAAACTTAATCAATGTTGGGATAATGAGATTTGTCCCTTTCACAAACGGACTAATTTTATTAGTTAAAGGGGTGATAGTGATTTATAAACCAATTAATTAATTTACCAAATAAATTATATTAAGATTGAATATAATTTTATTAATTTTATGAAAATATCAAATGTATTTCTAAATACTGTATAATATTTAATATTATATTAATTATTTTATTTTTATTCAATGGTTTACAAAATTACAAATTACAAAGGTTCGGTGTATGATGCATCTCTAATTATATTAATAATTTTTTATTATTTAAAGCTTCAAATTAACAAGTAATTAAATAAAATAATTGATCTTGCGTGTTAGCAATCTTGTGTGTATTTTTATTTTTGATAGATAGTAAATAACATAATAAAGTTTTGTAACCATTTAAAAATATATATTATAAAATTTTAGTCAATTAATTTAATTTGTTTTAAGCATTTGCAAATTGCAAATTGTAAGGAAACAAATAGACAATTTATCATTTATGTTATTTTCTACAAATTATAAATAAATATTTAATTAACTAATTAACAAATAAAAAATTAAAATTAAGGTTCTGGAACAATTTATCATATGGGGAATGAGCGGGGGGAAATCCCCGCATACAGGTGGGGACAGGACGGGATGGGGTTTCCCGACATCTCCGTCTAGGGGACGGGGGATCCCCCCATCCCTTACTCTTAAGTTAAAATTTTTAGCCAAATTTAACAAAATATATTTAAATTATTTCAAAGAATCAATGTGGTTTTCTCTTATTAATTTGTTTTGTCATTTTCTTAATTACAATAGGAAAATTTTCTCCAATACAATGAAGATGACTATTGATCTTATTTTGGAAAATATTTTATCCAAAATAAGATCGTAAGTCATCTTCTACTTGGTTTCCTAATAATAATAAAAAAAAAAAAGGCATTTAAAATTATCTACTCACCAGATCGATCAAATTGCAGTCGATTTTAATGCCCACGAAGATCCGGCAAAGTTGAAATAAGTCCTATAAAAGAATGTTGTCCTTTTCTAAATTTAACTCTTAAATGAAGTTCAATTATTTGTGAACGGTAAGACAATAGAACTATGGATCGAAAAACAGATTCCGGATAATGACATCCAGTTTATTTATGTAAAGCTTTGTTTGTATCACATCTTGCAAACCAACTTCCGAGTTTTCATCTTCTTTCAATTATATTAAACTTTTAACAATTTCCCATGTTAACACTTAATAATTATTAGAATAATTACGTTCAATATTGTTCTTGGTCTAGTAAGTAATATAATATAATTATTTTTTGAAAATGATCTTATCCTCAAAAGTAAAAATCAATTTAAAAAAAAAAAAAAAAATAAAAAAAAAAAAAACAGAATCAATACTAATATTGGTTTAATTCCTTTTTCCTCTCTCCTTCACTGTCCTATTTTACGGATGAATTTAATGACTCGCGCTTCAATTTTATTATAATTTGGTATTATTTATTAGAGTAAACGACTTTTTCTCACCTAAATAATGGTTAATGATACTTTCTCATTCACATAATTTTAAAATACTACTTTATTATTCAAAGTGCAATTCCGTTAATAAATTTCATTGTGAAGAATGATAGGATGGTCAAAAATATGTTATAAGTACGGGTGGGATGGTCAAGTAACAAAATCCCCATCACCCCACCTGTTTACACCACCAATCGTCGGCCCCTCTCACTTTAGAACTTAATTTCTCGCTAATGAGTAGAGGCAATCTAAAAAATGGTCGTTGGAATCATCTTCCCCTCACCCCCTGTTCATAATCGGCATCACCACACCCATTTTCACCCTTTAATCATTGGGAAACGTCTACTTTTTTTGGACGAAAACCGATCTTTTAGGATTGTTTCCAATCGATTGGTACATTGAAAATTCACCCTTCAATCACCATTGGAACCCCTTCCACCCCCTCTTCAAAACCCACCATCCAATCGGCTTTCCCTACTCCCCCGTTTGTCGTCCACTAGTCGTTTTTTGGGCGCCTACCACCTACTCGTAAAAGTTCCCAACCAACCTGCCCTTCTCCTACATGTGAGGGCATGTGCGTGCCTGCAGCACCTTAAAGCTCGCCTGCCAACTGTTCGATAAAATGCCCGAACCAACCAAAACAAACTCCACCAGGTGGGCTTGAACTAGAAACCCTAGTTCTTTGCGACGGTTGGTGGAAAATCAAGGTCAAGGGGGTTAGGGGTTTTAAAAGGGGGGGACGCCGACAATGTGCAAGGTGGTAGTTGGGGAAGTTTACGGTGAGGCAATCGGTGTGAATTGTGCTGGGAAAATGCAACGTTTGCGCAAAAACCTAATAGATAGGCGACGGCCATCGGTGGTTAATTGGGTTGGGAGATGTAGGGGTTTTGTTAAGGTGGCATCGGTGAGTCAAATGGTGTGGTCGGAAAGGGTTGTCATGGCCGGATTCAATCAAAATAGCTAGAAAACACGTCGACCAAAGCAAGTGCAGTGGCCGGCCATTGGCGGAGTAGTTGGGTGCGGGGTAGGGTTTAAGTGTGTTGGCAAAGGGGAGTGATATGGTGGGATTGGGGTCGACGAGCAACATTAGAATCAGGTTGTTTGCCGGCACAGCCAAAAGTCACGGTGGACACTAAGAAGAGAAGAGAAGAATAGTAAAGTGTATTTTCTTCTTCACAATGAATATTACTGTAGTTAACTCAAATTATTAACAGAATACACGTTTATGTAATAAAGTGATATTTTAAAAGTCAGTGTATAGAAAAGTGTCATTAAACTATTATTTGGGTAGGAAAAAAATAGTTTACTCTTATTTATTACCATAACAATTAAAAACTTCTAAATCACATGGAATGACAAATGGGATGGTTAATGGCAATTACCCAAGATCATGCAATAGAATGGCATATTATCTGGATTAAATTATTTATGATTAGGTTTAAGAAGGGAGTTTAAAAAAGAAGAGAAAAATATACTGAGAAGTGCTGTACACATGTTACAAGCAAGGTCAACTATTATCGTTCAGCTAACCCCAAAGAACTCAAATTCACAGTATGTACAACTTATATATTTTTTATTCTGCATTGATCCTTTCTGTGGGTGGCAAATAGACATCAGACAGCTTGGTGCCTAGTAAAATATTTATTTCACATAAATATTTAATGGCAATTACCGAAGATCGTGCAATAAAATGGCAGATTATCTGGGTTAAAGTATTTATGCTTAGGTTTAAGAAGGGAGTTGAAAAAGAAAAAAAAAATTAATTGAGACGTGCTGTATACATGTTATAAGCGAGGTCAACTGTTATAGTCTAGCTAACCCCTAAGAACTCATATTCTCAGTATGTACGACTTTACTGGTATTGTATATTTTTTATTCTGCAAGGATCCTTTCTGCGGGTGGCAGATAGATATCAGACAGCTTGGTGCTTGGTAAAATATTCATTTCACATGAATTTATCACCAAGTTTAATTTCACGACTTGATGACCATGCCACCATTACCAAGTCAGTCTCTTCTGATTTTGTTTAATTAGAATATGAATTAAGGTAATCAAATAACATAATACTCGATCCTGATAAATATTTTATAAAATTAATCTAATCATATATCAATTAACAAATAATTAACAAATGAAGTGACAAATATTATCCATAATTTACATCCGGCACCCTCGAACGCTACTATAACTAAGCAGTTATGTGCAACATGAGCGATTACAGGATCAAAATTCATCAACTTTCTCCTTTAGACATGACTTCTTTAAAGCTTTTCTTAGGTTTCTTTCTCCAGTTCATCTTTCTCCTTTCTGTCGTCAACGCGCAGGGATTGACAGTAGGGTTTTACTTACAGACATGTCCACAAGCTGAGGCCATTGTAAAAAATGTTACCGCTCAAGTCATGTCGGTAGCACCAAGTCTCGGTGCCCCTTTGATGAGAATGCATTTCCATGACTGTTTTGTTAGAGTACGTAAATTGAATATTCTTTTATATATATATGTATATTAAAATATTTGAGCGCCCGAGTTTAATCCTTACTTTGATGAGTAATTCCTGCAGGGCTGTGATGGTTCAGTGTTGTTAAACTCATCAACCAATCAAGCTGAAAAGGATGCGGCTCCAAATCTAAGCCTTCGAGGATTCCAAGTTATTGATAGAGTGAAATCTGCGTTGGAAAATGCCTGTCCTGGGGTGGTTTCATGTGCTGACATCTTGGCTCTAGTTGCTAGGGATGTTGTGGTTGCGGTAAATATTTCTCTGCATATTAATATCTTACGTAAAACAAATTTTTATAAATTTTATTATTTAATAGACTGTACTAAGTAAAAATTGTATATCATCTAATCAGCTCGACGGACCTTCATGGGAAGTCGAAACTGGACGAAGAGATGGAAGTGTGTCGAATATTACAGAGGCCTTGACAAACCTTCTGCCACCAGGCTCGAATATAACTCAATTGATATCAGGATTTCAGCAAAAGGGTCTAAGCGTAAAAGATTTAGTGGTTCTATCGGGTACTTAACATAACATTCATGTAAAAATTATGTTAAATAGCATGAACTTGATTAAGTAATTAATTTAAGCTCCAAAATTTCCAATAATATAGGTGGACATACCGTTGGGACTTCTCACTGCTCAGCCTTCACCAGTCGGCTTTACAACTTTACTGGAAACGGCGATACTGATCCTTCATTAGATCCCAACTACATTGCTCGGTTGAAGATCAAATGCCCGCAAGGAGATCAAAATACTCTAGTAGAGATGGACCCTGGAAGCTTCAGGACATTTGATGAAGACTATTTTACACTTGTTAACAAAAGAAGAGGTCTCTTCCAATCAGATGCAGCTCTTCTTAACAACAATGAGACTAGAGCTTATGTTATAAGCCAACTCTCAAACAGTAGTTCTACTTTCTTTACTGACTTTGGAGTTTCCATGGTGAACATGGGTAGAATTGGCGTTCTTACTGGAACGGCTGGTGAAATTAGGAAAGTTTGCGCTCTGGTTAACTAAGCAAATTTTGTACTGGTTCAGAGAAAATAAAGTGTATGGCTTGTGTTGGTTTAACATTGAGCTTCAAATTCATTAATTATTAATTAATCAATTTGTTGTGTTTCTGGAATTTTAGCCGCTTGATGAAGGCGTTTTCAAAATAAGTTAGTTGTGCTAGTGTTTACTGAATTATTTACTCTTTTTCGATGATAATAATTGTAAGATATGTCATGAAATATATAACAGTTCAGACGTTTGACAATTAATTACAATGACTAATTAACTAACATCAGTAAGTGAAAGTCATTAAGTCAAGCATGTATCCATTTTTTAAGCTGGATCGAGGGAAACTTGTAATTAATTATAACAATTGTGGAGAGAAAAAATCGAATATATATGTAAAAGATTGAGGGCGACGCTATTTTACTAAGTACATAATTAAACAGAAATGTAATTTGCAGTAATTTGAACGATTAAAATTCATTAGGTGTGCTCTTCAGTTGATAAGATTCAGGAAAGATGGAACTCAGACCTAACTAAAGCAGTGAGAAGGGGTTCTATCTCCTTTTGTATATATGGTGATGTTCCAACAATATTTTTTTGGTTTCTTTCTTTTTTCTCATTTATTTTTAATAATCTGTAGAAGATTCTATCATACTAATTACTAAACAAGTTATAGAGATCTTAGTTATCCAAATCACTTGTTTAGATCGCAATTATTATGTCTTTCGTAATTTTCCAATCATATTGAAGTTTCCACCTCATTTTGCTCCGTTGATGCTAATTTGTTATTTGAGTCAACTCTCCATTTACTTATTTTAAGCAACATAAACTGGATCGAAGTAAAAAAAATGAATAAATGATAAATTAATGTATGTAACTATAGATTAATCTAATCTTTCACTTTGTGAGAAGATACGATCGATCTTATCCACCTGAAAAGAAGTTGAAAGCGTAGCTAAAAAATCAAGTTCCATGTGCTTTGCACAAGGCTGGCAATAAAAATCGTGATTGCATGAAAAATCACTAGGTTATCAACAATTATTATTTAAGGGTTTGCTGAGGAGTTTTATGGTAACAGTTATGAGAGTAAACCATCGTAACGGTTTTGAGAGTGTTTTTAAATTAGTCAAAACCAGTCTATTAAAAATCTGGTAAGTAGGGGTTTCTAAACACTTCAAAACCAGTGAAAAAAAAACTCCCAAGCAAACCCTAAGGGTTTATAACAATAATCCTTCTCAAGTAGCAGAAATCAAAACCCCATTATTTAATGGAAAACTGTATTTTAATCTCATCTCATTTGATTATTATATAATTAATTTCATTAATTGTTTCATTAACTAAAATGTAAGCTATCATTACGGCGGTAATTAAGAAAGGCAGGTGTTATATTTTCCTGTTTCTTCGGAAGCCAGGATCAAAGTCAACAGGCCTCATAAAATTAATGTTAACGAGGTTACGAGGACCAAAAACATTAAACAAAAATAATAAATAAATAAATAAAAATACAGCGAGAGACCTGACTAGTTCGTGACTGGATTCAACCTGCTCATGTTAATCAATTACAAATGCATGTGACAACTAAAGTTCATTCACTGCAATGTAAAAGTCAACTAAGTGCTGGTTAAATCATCTGGCGTAAACATTTTCAATGAGTTACAAACTTTATGGTCTTTAGCTATAAGGCATGTACTGAAATACCGTTTCCCCAATTAAGGATACTAGAAAATATCAGTTTTCTTTTCCTTTATTTTATTTTTTAAATATGTATCAATAATTTTATAAAGAACCTTTTGTTGGTTGATCCATTTTTGATGTGACCATGAACTTTACTCATTTAACAAGAGATGAGATTAGGAATTATGCCCATTAATTGCGCTAATAAAAAAAAAATTTATTACCTCCCATCTCCTTGGAATTCTTATTGGTGGCTGATCATTTTGAGTAAAAATTCATAAAATTAAAGAAAAAGAAACTTGATCATTTTGAGGAGATTATTCTTCAATTAACTTTGTCAAAGCCTATTAATTATGTTATTCTTTGGAGGATGAAGTCATATATCTTCATTTTCATTAATTTCTTTGAATATTTGTAACCTAGAATCAAAGTTAAGATAGTTGTATTGTATTTGTATACTTGTATTTCTGTTGATATGAAAATCGTACCAACTTGAGTGATCCGATTGACCTTGATGAAATCGGAACCGATGTGTGCGTGATTTAATGGAAATCAACAAAGTAATGTAAAATGCCTATAAAGTAAAGAATACAAACGATTTTTAAAGTGGTTTGGTAAGTTAAAACCTAAGCCTATATCCACTATTATCTTATTGCTTTTAATGGATTACAAGAATAACAATAAGCTTGCCTAGAATAATTTGCTAACCCCTCTCTCATCGTTAAGTGGAGGGGGTTTATATACAAATTTGTAATAAAGGAAAGAGAGAAATTATCGGGATTGCAATTAAATTTAAATTGCAACTTCAATATTCTCATGATTGTGCGTTTAGATTGCCCCATCATTGCTGTTGATCTGATCTCTTCCGAAATATCCGAGATTTGAGCTTATCTATGGTTCATCGAACAATTGCCAGCGTTGGTCGCGACTAGCTTGTGTTGGGTCGAGCTATATCTCAACGAGCTTATGCTGGGTCGGGCAATTGCTTAGTCAAATTGATTATGGGTCAAACTATATCCTAGCGAGCTTCTGACTTCTCCGAGCTTAGTGGAAAAATCACATACAACATCTGACCCCTAGTGTTCGGTGCTCGTTTCAAGCTTCGAAGACTAATTGCCTACTTTGACATTTAGCTCGAACTTCTTCAATTGCACGTTGACTATAGATTTGGTCGAGCTTCGCGAGTTGACCTTGGCTACAGTCGACGTGAACAAGACTTAGCTTTTGCTACGGTATTCTTGATAAACTTGGAATTTGAAATGAAGGGCATGCAGGTAATTTCTATGTGGTCATGTCGAATTAAATGTACCAGCTTTTGTAGTTACTTTTTGTTGCGCGTGAGCGACTATAGTTGTCCACGTGCGAAGTCAAGGCGACGTGGGACATAGCAAATCGACAGTTTAGGTCAAATGCCACCCTTTCGTCTCCTATGTTCACCACTATATTAAGGGGCATTCTTGACCAGAATTGTACAGTTGCAAGAAATCGTTTTCACCCCAAATCATTTGCTTCTCTTCTCCGTCGTTGCTTCCTCTGACTTACACGACTTTCTAACGAGTTCTCACTACGATTCACATTCTGGTAAGGCTCTTGTCCTCATTCTTTTCTTTCTTTTAAGCTTTCGTGGTTGTTGAGGGTGGCCATTGTTGTGGCCACACTAGCTTTTTTAGGGTTTTTTAGTAGATCCATTGGTTTGGGTTTTAGGAATGTTAGGGAAGTGGCCGCCGAAATCTTGATAGCTGGCTTGCATCTCTCGATCGATGCGAGCTATCATGGATGCCTAAATTGAAAGCAAGTGTGGACAGGTCGCCAATAGTTTGAGCTCTGACACTTGGTTACTTCTATTTCAGGTATCCAGAGGTGAGCTACCACCATGTCTTCATCTAGCAATCACAGCATTGATCGCCTTTTTGAGCCTAACTCCCTGGCGACCTCAGCTATTTGCGGGGGAGGAATCCCGGAAGAGGTTTCTAAGGATATTATCGTAAAGAGCTCAGTCAATGATGCTACGGGCTCTTCGAATGCAGCTTCTGTCGAGCTTCCCCCACCAAGGGGCTCACCTGTCCATAGAATTAGGAAAAAGCCGAGCTCCTCGATTAGAGTCGAGGATCTTGAGCGCATATGGGATATTTATGCGACTCAACTTGTGTTGATGGCTACGGGAAATATTTCTCGAAAAGATCCCTCTAGGGATTGGGTGGCAATCTCTGACGTCCTTATGAGGTGTGGAATGTCTGTCCCACCTCATTTCTTTATTACCGACATACTAAGAAGATTTGGCATCGCTCCCCTTTAGCTCATGAAGAACTCGTATATAATCATTTTCGGAATGTACATAGCTTACAAAATATCCGAGTTAGGTGAGATAGTCCACCTGTATAGAATAAAGAAGAATTAAGACCAGACGTATTACCTCTCCAAAGCAAGGAAAATGCGTCTGAATGGTTCGTGTTAGAGTAGATGCCCTAGAGCCAATTAATTATTGTAGAATTGACTCTTTGTAATAATGTTCATTAATCAATAAAAGACATTTTATTCTATATCGCGTAAATCATTATTATTGCAATATGTATTGATATATGTCCTTAGAATGGTAGAGCCGTGATGAGGGTATCAAGTGTTTCAAATCTTGAGAACCCTATGAGCACATATGGTGGCCATTCTAGAAACATCCGTAGCCCCAGTATTATTCTGAACTAAGGCAACAGATAATTACGGTAAGGCTATCAATTTTTGAACGACCCTGTCGAAGGCAGTGACTGATCTCATTGTCAAGGTGTTTGGTGACAACCTGGTTGCAACACATGGGTGCTGTTGTAGGCGATTACACCACAGTAAGTTTCACTGGACTGACCCCACCGGGGATTCCAATGGATGGTAACCCTAGTGTCTATGGAACAAATCCTCTAACGAATGGTGTGCATGTGATCCTTAGACTTGAGATAACCGGAGCGCCTTGTGCACCGATTGGTGTAGTTTGACACTAGCCTAATGCATTCTTTTCAGAGCTATCAATACGTGGTGATTGGCTGCATCAAGGAATGTATCAAGACTATGGTGGATTGACAGAGGATTCATCACTCCCGGTATGGAGAAAGTTATCTCATAGCGCAATTCAGTATATGGTAATGACACTAAAACTTGGCCACAGTGGGATTGAGTTGTTGCTAATCCAGTTTATAATACGGTTCATTGGTCTAGAAACTGAATAAATAATATCGAGAGTAACCGAAGGTTGACACTATTTCTATGCCTTCATCTCGTCGAGATAAGGTATGATGAAAGGATCGAATTGCACGGTAACCATATCGTTGACAGGTAGCTACTTTGCTGAATCCGAATCT